TAAAATTTTTTCCGAAACGCTCCGCGATATAATAAAAGTTTTCCGAAATTTTCCGCACATATAGAGGGGGGGGGGAATGGGGGAAGGCAGAAGAGGGGGGGGGGGTAACGTAAACCACCGATTAAATTGGTCTGGCCTTACGTGACATGCAATGTATTATTCACATGATACTTCTTCATGATATGCGAACTAATTATTATAAGCTATTTGATGCCAAAGTTGATCGTTATCCGCGTGTTCGGCTAACATTGTATGGGATCAGTGTCTTTCTGATGTTTCTAATCTAATCCAACCTGTCACACATTTCGATCTTGCAATCTAGATAATAATTTATTGTTTTTTTTTTTGTCAAGATTAACATAACTATTGTATATATTTTTTCAAAAATTACATTTCTACTATAATAAAGAACCTCAAATAACGGGTAATTTAATTGTACTATAATTGTTTTTAAAAAAATTAGATTAAATGTTAATTTTTAATTTAAAGTTAACTATATTTTACATCTACAATTAGACCCATACAGCTTTATCAAAGAATCTACAAATTGTTTGTTCTTCAGTCTGGTGACAAAGCTTACAGAAATTCTCATAAGTCTTATCCTTTTTCCACTCGAAATAACTCTCATATAAAGTTTGATTGTTTGCTACCTTATAAATGTATTTAGCAAGGTCTTCAACATTTTCAAAATCTGTAACTTTTATAACTGAATTTGAAGGAACATAATCATCAATATCAGGCGCACCCATATATATGGGGATAGAATCACTTAGGAAAGAATCATAAACTTTTTCAGTTACGTAACCTTTACAATTGGAATTTTCGAAAGCAAGTTGAAATTTATAGAATGCGAAAGTATCCATTTTTACATCATACATATGTTTTGTATAATAAGCGGTATCATCGTTATTCATGCCATATTTCTCGCGAATAGATTCTGGTAATTCTTGATTATGAAGACATCCTCCAAATGAGTGAACTGTTATGTGTTGCATTAATTCTTTAACATAATCATTACGATTATTCACTGGATCACAATTACCAGCCATCCAAGCAACTAAAACATCTTGTTTTTTTTTATCAAATGGTGCATGAATTTCATAAAACTTGGGAATACGATCTTTATGTATTCCATATACTGGTCGGAAGATGTCAAAGAGATCAGCAGGAGAGCCCATTGTAATATCAAATAAATTAAGGAAACTCTCGAGACCAGCGAACCAGTAATAACCTAATCCTTCATCAGAGAATAGATACCACCAAACTAGTCCAGCTTTGTGATGAGGCAATAGTTCCATATCATAATAAGGTGGGTCATCTATTTTTAAAAAGAAGGGATAGTCAAAATATATTATATCGGTATCTCGCCATTGAGTGTAATTAGTAGTAATTCGATATTTTGCACCGTTAGCGCAAGTACCCCAATTATCACTTTTGGACCAAAACCAGCATGGAGCATAGCCTTTAGGCCATTCAGGTAAATTAGAAACACGTTTACGAGCAAATTTTTGAAATGTTCGTCGGAAAAAAGTGTCAAGTTCTGGTGGATAAGGGCAGAGATCTTGAGAAATAGTCTCCCAGGATACGTCCCTATTTCCAAAGGTCAAGGAGCGCCAATAAAAAATCGTCAATTCATGGGATTTTGGTTTTGTAATGTAAAATTTACGTTGAGTTGTGTTTGTTTTAAGAGACGGAAGATTTTCACAGGAAGAAGGTAGATATTCAGAAGAAAAAGGCGTTGATGGCAATTTTACTGTGTCAGATTTAGTTTCTTCAGGTTTAATTTCTTTCTCATCTACAAATATTCCTATACCATCCGTTTTCAGGAGTAATAGACTGATAAATAGGCTGATGAGTAAAAACAGTACTATTGCACCTCTTAATAATAATTTAAATTTATTAATGGGTACTAGATTCTGACAAGTTATTAATTCTGTGAATGTCATCATATCGGACAAAGCTAATTAATAAAGTTTTAATAATTAGTTAACATCTAACGCTAAATATCTATATACGTACCAGGAACGTAGTACAAAGTGTACAAAGTACCGAGTGTATGGTTTAAATTGGATGTAGCGGTAGTAATCGAATGATTTCAGACACAATGATCTACATTCTTGTTAACCCAATATAAAATTTTATCCCTGTCGTGATCATTACTTTTTTTTGTATGGAACGTTGATGTTATACGACTGTTCCTTCATCCGGTGTGCAACATATAAAAAATTAATGGTGTTGGATTATAATCATAACATGTACTAGCGGAATGATCTGGTATTGTAAAATAATTTTTTTATATGTTGCACACCGGGTG